TGTGTGTGTGTGTGTGTGTGTGTGTGTGTGTGTGTGTGTGCGTGCGTGTGTGTGTGTGTGAGAGGGAAGACGCCTCTCATGCCAACAACACATTGGGCATGTATTTGTATGTGTCGGTGCGGATAACCAATGCGTTTAATTGTTCCCCGCAATGACTAACCTTCATGAGGCACGCAGTACACGGGGCTCTCGTCGCCGCTCTCACATGACGAGAAGGACTCCTGGGAGGACCAGGAGTAAGGGGAAGGCTGCTCGGCCACTGAGGGGGGCTCGATGAAGCTGCAGTTGAAGTTGTGCTCGGGGTCGTGGTGGGCTACTGAGAACACAAAACAAACGCAGAAGCCCAGAGGTCAGCGAGAGGGTATTGTACCATGTTACAAGAACAACAGTCTGCTCTCCCAACGGCTGCCGAGTGGTAGGAAATGGACTTGGGATTGGTTTTACATGTCAGTTAACAGAGCGAGTGTGATTTTCAGGGTTTGGTGGTTTTCTTGACGTTGATTGATGCCACATGCCATCAGTACATTGGCAGATGACTGCTACTTGGGAGAGAACAGTGACACTGAAATGTTACTAAGTGCCACCAATAACACAAAGACATCTTCCAACTTGTAGCAGACAACAAAGGATACATGACTTCTTTGAAGAAAATATCATCTCCACATGTCATTTTTATTGTGTATGTGTGTCTTGACTGTGGAATTTATCAAGCTGAGCCCCTTGTGAGGTCACACAAGGCTGAATTTTGACCTCCATTTTCGGGAAAGATACGCCTCGAAAGTCGCAACCCCCCCACACCGTTTCCCCCCCCCCCCCAAAAAAAAAACCCCAAAAAACTGGAGTTCAAACAGCTTTCATGAATCATCCATACATTGGCAGTCAACGTAGCCTCAGTTCAATTCAGGTCAAAACTGTGCTGAGTGTTGACTTGGCATGACCATTTGAAGGCGCTTTCAACATGACTCCCCCAATCTGCCTCTGTTCTTTCGGTTAGTTGTCTTCGTATCACGTAATAATGTGACTTTAGCATGATGGAATAGTCTCGTCTCAGGACTTCCAGTGTGGATTTGAATTTTCTCCAAGTGCTTGTGTGGTGGGTTTGGGGTGAAGCTTAATAAGGTCTACGCTTTTGGGATATGGATCAGTGGAAAACTAGCAATACAAGGGTCGTAATTATCAACGGTTTCCTGGGATTCAATTTTAAAGACAATGCAAAATGAAATCAAAAGTTATTTCTCAATTCGTTATTAAGATAACTGCTGAAAACGTGCTAAGACTGAGCCCTGCGTAGTACTGTACTGTGGAGAAATAGGGTTCATTTGTTTTGCACCTTTTCAGTTGTCCTGATATTTTACCCTCCTCCATCCCCCCAAAAAATAATGCAAGTTGGTTGTTATTACTTGGCCCGTTTATACCACAACGGTACGCAGTTAGCAAGCTAGCTGACGCTACACTCAAAAAAGGCATCTTCCCTGGACGCCACAATTTACAGACCAGCTCGGTGGTGTTCTTTAAATTCCCAAGAGAGAATTGCTGGCTGATTGACCCCCCCAGAGAGGGTGTTAGGTTGTGACCTAGCTTGTGAGTTGGCTTGTGAGCTAGCTAGTGGCTTGTGCCTCTCATTGCAATTTTGAAGTAGATTCGTTTTTTTTCAATCATTCAAATTTGGCAGTGTTGTGAACAACATTTCTTTGTAGAGGGCTACATTTACAAGATTTACATACTTTTTTTTTTCACTTTAATGGATTTTTAAAGTCGCTCTATTACACCATTGAGACATGACATCAATTAGAGCAGGTGCCACTTTTGGAGCAAATGTCATTGTTTCCTTCCCCAAAAACCTGTGACATTCTTTTTCTTCGTTTCTCTTTTTTTTCCTAGCCTCAAGTCAACACAAGAATGTCAAAAATGTGTTTGCTTGTGTTGCGATGACTTTCTGTTTACTCATTTGTGAGCGGAGGGGAATGAATGTGAGTAATTCCTTGTTCAGGGTCATCACTTAATAGCCCATCCGCAGGAGCTGAGGAATGCTGAGCAGCCCCCTCGATGCAAGCACTGCAGTCATGTTAGTCAACAAGACAACCCGTGGACAATTTGCAACATGATGGAATGCTGCTGCTCTTCAAATAAGCTCACACACAACCTCGTGGTTCCTGAGGGGAGCATTATTCGGCAGACTGGATGCCGCTGGGATCCTTGGCCACACTAAGGGGCATTACTGACACGTCGCAGCTGCAGAGCTCAACCACAAACTTGCTGAGTGGGGGAAGGAGAGCTCGGTTTTACAGACATGGAGCTAAAGCTTGGGTTGACAGACTGTTTGGGTCCAGGACCCGGTTACAGGGAGAACTTGGTATCAATAACCTCTTAAACGTGGATTGAACCAATTAGTAAACTAGTTGACGTCAACTAATCGCTAAAACGTGTTTTTGACATCAAGTCTTCTGATTAGAGGACTTTTGACTTGCAAAATGCCAGACACTTGTGTGGGTTTGACAGTAGAAAATTTCAACAACAAATTTCCAACAACTGTGTGCTCACGAAATTTCATTCCTCATCGAACACGGCAACATAGCAACGCTTCAGGGTTGACGCCAGTGTACTTTAAATGTCCGTCTTAAGGGTGCGAGAATGTTTTCGGCTCAGTTTAGTGGCCAATTAAAGGCCCGAATGTGAAGAGGAATGTTCTTAGAAACGTACACATCTGCGATACCGGTCAAGTGTCCTGGGATTAATCCAGCTGCAGGGAAAAAAAAAACAAAAAAACGGGTGGTGCTCCATATGCGCACTTATCCGTGAGGAAACATTTGGACACAAAAGGATGCGAGGAATGCTCCGCAGACGCGAAAGCGGAGGGTGTGGGGTGAATATGCTTCCAGTGGAATGCCAAAAAGCAACAGTTACACATGTTTGGTGATGCCAGCAGGGGGCTAGGTGACACATTCTAGCGTTCCCCTTGCAAGTAAGGAAAACGCTGCCCTTCCTCCCTCCCTATTCCTATTTCATTCAACATTGCCACATCTGTTGCCACTGGCCCTGGCGGGGATAAATCACAGCTCTGACACGGGCTGGGGTAAATTTGACCACTTCCTGTTTCCAGCCCCTGTCGGGCCCCCTCTGGAATGTGTGTGTGTGTGTGTGTGTGTGTGTGTGTGTGTGTGTGTGTGTGTGTGTGTGCAGGACTGCGTAGCCTCAGTCATGAGTTTCCAAATGCTGGCAGCCATACTTCTGTGGCCCAGCATTATACATAGGACAAACCTGGAAGCCCAATAAAGTCTTTAAAAAAACAACAAAAACAAAACGTAAACCATCATCTTTGCATTTGGTAGCATTTAGGGAGACCGTGCATATTTCTTTCATTACACTGTAAACGGTGGATCGCATTTTTCTGTCGAAAACAGATTACTCAGGGAGGGACTGGGTCTTCTCCTTTTTCCTGACTTATATGGGAGAGACACGCTCCTCTCAAAACAAGCGTTTTGATATGCAACATTGTGATGACAAAGACATGCCTGTCTCGGCGCAGAACAAGGTCACAATGGAGTCAGACTGGAGCTTAAATAATCAGCTGGATCACTTCGGAAGCACATGCTGCTCAGACGTAGAAAAGAAACCAGGTCATCGTCTTTTAACTCTTTCATCACTCACTTGGAGTTTTTGCGGTATCAAATGTAGGCCAGAGTCAGGGAAGGGCCGCGCTGACTTTCTGGCTGCGTGATCAACGAGTAGCGAACGTACAAACGCCGTTATGAGTGTGCCAAACTTGCATATCTTTATTTATTGTTATGTAAACAAGACATGAATGGATTTAGGTTAAGAAGCTAAATGGCGCTGAGGTTGTACAGTCTGGAATGTCACCAACGTTTTCTGGAAAAAGTTAACATGGAGATGTGACATCTAACGATGACGGTGAAAACTTCTGAGTTTGAACAGCTATCACGCTGTATGTGATTGCTATTAACACTTTTCAGAAGAAAGAGCAGCCTCAACAACGTCTGTTAAGAGAAGAAGAATATGTACTGGACGGTTTGTGAAGTTGGAGGTCTGTCTTTCTAAGCCTCCGGCCTCAAAATACAATTCATCAACTTTCAGTTGAAATCGAGGGCTCGATTTTCATGCCCAGTGCAAGTCGAAAAGTGCGCAGTGGCGAGTGAGACCAAGTTTTGTCATTTTTGCAGAGCCACGCATCTTGGCACTGATATATACAGTATGTGCGGTTTGCGCCGTTGTGGGTGTGAACACAGCGGGCTTTATTCATCGTCAGTCCCATCGGTCAGGCTCGAATAGTTTATTGTTTGTTTGGCCATCCCTCTTTTGCCATTTTTTTTTGACAAAATATTGTGACAAAATATGAATTGCAGATTGTTGAGATGGTGAGTTTTTCAAATAATTCGAATAAGAATGCCTGGTTCTGTTCGGAGACACTAACACAGCCAAAAACAACCTCCTGCTTCGCCCTTTGCATTTTCGAATATTTTGATGACCTTATTTAGCTACGAAGACCATTCATTGTCATCCAGTGGTAAACTAAATCCGTCTCTGGCGCAACGCAAGAACAGCTCAACGACATGCTCAACTGCTCGTTAGAGTTTGAACAGATCAGCATCTTTTGACATGCTGGAATATTTGAGAATGAGGTCGGAGACGGATCCGTCACAGACCACGAGACCTCCACATGGACCTGCGGAGTCCATATAAACACTGCAGCCTTTGTTGGCTCATCCCTCAGCACCAGCAGGCCTCAACCTTTTGCGCGATGACCACCGGCCGTCTTTTAATAGGACGCGCTCCATCTCGGAGGGAGAAACCCTTCGCTCGGTGAACTACGGATGCGGGGTACAAAAACCGTGAGGGGAAAGAAAAGCGCGGCAGTTTGGGTCTGGAATAACACGAACACATGGCCGGCGGAGGGCGCCAAGAACAATAAGGGGCTCCAAAATGGGCGCATTCCTTTGAAATGAAAGCCCATATTTGTCTGGCAGTTAGCAGACTTCTCAGTCATCATCAGCTAAGACACAAACTAAGGTCGCAAAGAGCACAGGAAAAATGAAGCCATTGTGCATAGCGGCGAAGGTAAATTAGTAACGTCGGAGGGTGTTCAATGCAGTCATACAGTAATTGTCTACAGTTGAAAATGTGAATTTCCAACTACAGTGTAAGCTGTGAAATCAAACGATCCCTGTATGTGGCGCAAAATCTTCCGACTGAAAAGCGGTGTTAGCCACGACGTCTGCTTTGACGTCGGTTCATTGCACAGCGACGATGTTTAAAATCTCAGGTGAACTTGCATCGGACTCAATGTCTGTGTTTTGTGTTTTCTTTGGGTATTTTTTTCCCCCTAAAAATAGACACCTAAAGTTACGTTCGGCAGTGAGACTCCAGTGATATGAAACCCACGTGAATGCTAAAACGTTCCCAAAAACTTTATTTGAACGGTGCAACAAAAACTAATTTGATCCAAAAATTGGCTAGAATTAGCAATGGTCGAGTATCGATACCAAGTATCGGTATTTTTTTTTAAGGTATTGGATACTCGTGGCGGCTGCCGATACCAGCCACCAATACTTTGGGCAAAGAAAAAGAAATTCACACCGAGAAGTGCTTCTCGGCGTTGTACTGTGGCAGTTTGGCACTTCGGTGAATCTTCATCTGCTTCAGAAAGATGTGTTTGAATAGATTTTTATATCTCAGTGCTCGAAGTATCTATACTCAGTATCGGTGAGCACTTGTATTGTGAATGGTGTTTATCTTTGGAACAGTTTTTTTATTTCAGATTTTTATTATCTGTAATTTTATTCTGCACTGCTGTAACACTTTAAGTGGGGGGGCAGGGGGGGCTTGAGGATTATTTTATTTTAAATTGTAGGTCAACTAGTACTGTTTGTGTTTGTTTCCACTGTATGCCTTAGGACTAAAAGTAGAACAATATAAAACTCTGCTACTGTTGAAGTCTTCAGTTTTGAAGAAAGTAAAACGATCCAAAGACGCGATTTTTTTTTTTTTTTTTTTTTGCAGCAGAAAGCATAGTTGCAAAAAGACAGGCAACGTCTGGCGGCTCAGTGTGGGATATGAAAGAAAGTTTTGGGGCTTACCAACTACTTTTGGCAGTTTCTGTCTCCTCAGTGGAATACGGGGAAGTTTAGTGCTGATTCGGCTAAATCGTCCGCACAGGATCCGCTTGGCTTTTTTGCTGTTGGAAGAGTTGTCTGGGTTAGATCTGAGGTAGGATGACAGCATGGAAATCTAAATGAATCATTTAAAAGAGGGTTTATTCGACTTGGCCCTGTGTCGAGGCTTGCTCACACTGCTTCCTACGCAGTATTATCGACACGTGAAAAACATTTGCATTGCACTTTACATGTATTTAGCCCCTCATCAACTGCGACCCGGTGAGACAAGAACAATCCCACATCCATTTTTTTTTTTTTTTTTTTTCATAACGGGCTACTGAGAGTCAGACAACTTGTGCAGAAGACACCAAAGCGTCACTCACTTGTGGTCGTCTTTGTGCCGACAGAGGCAGCAGCAGCACAGCACAGAGAGCAGGACGATCAGCAAAAAGGAGACGAGCGTCCCGGCCGCGATCACACCCATCCGCTGGTTAGGCTCTGCAAAAGGAAAAAAAAAAAAAAAAAAAAAAGACGCAACGAGTTCTGGATGGTGCGGTACAGAAAAAAATGGTGACTCTAAATTAAAACCATAGAGCAGAAACACACTGAGCCCGAGGTTATTCCACAACTTCCCCCCAAGATCCCCTCAATGATCCACTGAAGATTTTAAATTGTCCAAGGTGTGAATGTAAGTGTAAATTTTTGTTTTTCGATATGACCCATTCCAATGTGTACCCCAAAGTCAGCTGTGACCCTTCTGAGAATGAGCGCTATAAAAAATGAACGGCTGGATAATTCTGCATCATCGATTAATTGTTATTTTAATTTAAAATAGTCCAAAAATCCTTGTAAGTCCAGCTTCTCCGCAGTCAATATTTTAAAATGTATGTGGTTGTCCATGAAAGCGTTGTGCTGATTTTGTGTTTTTTTTTTTTCATCGACATTTGCAAACATCTGATTTTGTTTTGGAGAACAATTATCAAAATTTCTGCTGATTTTCTGACAGGTTACAGACCAAACCAGGAGCTGAATTGGAATGAAATTATTCATGCATTTTCTGAACTGTCAATTTGACATCATGTCCTACTTGGGAATGAAAACGATATAATTTATTGATTAATCGACAAAATCATGGGCTTTTAAAAAAAAAAAATCATTGCAGACAAAAAAAAAAAATTGAGTACAATTAGCTCTTATTGCTAGTGCTAACACAACAGGGCAGGTGTATCTTTAGGCGAGTGAAAATAAGTGATTGATCAATTATTTAGGTTTGATTATTGCTTAATTGTGGAACGGGCTTCTCGCAACCCATTCAAACAATACTTGTCGGACAAGTACTGTAAAATAACAGATTTGCAGGGCAACGGTGATGGCAGAGATGCTACTCCACTAGCACATTGTGATCAAGTTCCATGTAGCGGCTTTTATCTGTAACTTATGCTGTCTCTTGGGCTGTTACGTGTCTCATAAAGATAAGATGAATTGTTGTGGCGTGCGGTCACTGCTAGTTATTCACCGTCGGGGGAATAAAGGACCGGAAGTGGCTCGAGGGCATCACCAGGTCTGAGCGGATCACAGCTAGCTTGCCGCTGCCGCGACACTTGAGCCTTTTTCAACACTGCTGCCATCATGACTAATTATGAAACAGCCTCATCCTTCTTCTTTCCTCTTCCCCTTTTTCACCCCCCCCCCCTTTCCTTTCCTTCCCCTCGCTCTGACCGGTGCCAAAAAAAACGCAGCGCACAGGGACACCAGTCTGGAAAAGCTATCAAGGCTTTTGCTGTGTAAAAGTCCCTCGCTAGTACACACGCAAGGCTGCAGAAGTTGTTTGTTGGTACTGTGTGTACAGCCAACTGTTAGTCACTTAAGAGTCCGTCAGAATGAGGGGCTTGTGGCGCTTTGGACATCCCAAGAAGAAAATGTGCTTTTTGTCTCAATGGCAAAAACACACGCTCCCTTTTTGCAGTGGGAAACAAATCATATTTTCTTACGGAGGTAGCAGGCACCAGAAACTGGGTCGCAGTTCTTGTCATGGCAGGAGCAAGTTTGATTGCAGTTCACTCCATGTTGTCCAGGTTGACATGTCAGATTGCAGCTGTAGAGGACGTAACACAAACTCTGTTTGAAATTCACTCCATCGAGTTCAAGTCCTTTTTAATCACAACAACGGGGAAACGGGTTTTTGTGTTCCACGTGCGTCTGTTTTTAGTTTGTTGTATTTGCCGTCTGAAAAGCCTTTGTAAAAGGCTTCGGCCCACCTGTGACAACATTTTTTTTCCTTCTTCCAATATGTCTTTTACAATCAATACAGAATAGAGATTCAACTCCAAAATGAATACGGAGTTGATTCCAGGCTAGTGGGTGTCGCTTTACGTTTTTTTTAACGGCAGCTAGCAACAAGCTAGCTACAATCTAGCTAAACATTAAAGTAAACATTCCTTGAAAGAAATTATGACAACCGAAGACAAGCAATTGAAAACACATATTATTATTATTTTTTTTAATGTCTGCACTTCTCAAACGTTTAAGCCTCTCTGTTAAGTTGTGGGTCAAACTAACTCTTTTCGATGCTGGCAACTTACTAGGTTCCGTAAAATCCCGGGTCACACAGGCACTCTCCGGTGACGCCGTGACAGTTCCCGTTGAAACAGTGACTGCAGTTGTTCTCACAATTATCTCCGTACGTGCCGTTGGGGCAGCGCACCTCGCACCTATCACACAAAAGACGAATGCAAGCACGGCGGTCATTACTGAGCTGAGCAGCATGAGTCACAAGGTGTTATCACAGCGTGTACACGAGAATTAATGCAGCTACTCGTTAAAGTCACTGCCGTTATGTGTTTAAACGGTAGTGGGAAGTGCTACTGTACTAAAGCACAAATTTCAGGGATCTGGACTTCACGTGAGTACCGGTATTTGGTATTTGTGACGATTTAATGCCCTTCATTTAAAAACAGATATCTGAACTCAAAGTTTCAAGGCAAAAAAAAAAACTGATAACATTTGAAGATGGGCAATCCAACAAAATATTTTAAAGTATTTTTTAGTTTTGCTAACGTGACAAAGAAATAAGAGTCTACAGAACTGAAAGATAGAAGTAAAAACAACTCGGCAAAAATGGTTTGGGAGCAACTCGCTCGCTTTGTTGGTCGAACTAACATTGTTGCCATAATGATCAAAGATTTATATTTTAACGTTGTTCCTACTTAATTAGCCTTCGACAGTATTTTGATGACCGGGGTAAATCCAGTGTGGCGCATGGCGTACTTCTGCACTAGGGTGGGTTAGACCTGATGTTGGTAATTTCGAATTGCGAGATAGAGGGCTGCGCCGCTGTGGGCGTGGTCAAAGCCGACTTCAATCTTGGCCAATCAAGATCGGTCGCGCGTCCCGTTGCGCACTAGAGTCTCGACACGGTGTAAGCACATCTGTGCCGTGAAGTGGGCACCTGGACACTGAGCCCCATTCACTCCCAATCGTTCGAGTGACTGTTGTTCAGTTGGAAAACCGCAAACTTTCGCCGCAAAAATGAGAACGTGAAAATACGTTTTCCTACCTGTCCCCAATCCAGCCAGGGTTACAGTGCGAGCACTTGCCCTGAATGTGGTCACAGTGATGGCCGTCCTTACAGGTGGGACACACTTCCTGGCAGTTTTCCCCGAAGAAGCCTTTGGAGCAGAGCTGGTCGCAGCGCGTCCCGTTCCAGCCTCTGTCGCATGTGACGCAGCGTCCCTCCGTCACCTTACATGGCTGCTGGCCCTTGCAGTGGCCACACCTGAGGAACAAAGGTCAGTTCCTCAAATTTATTTCCTCTTCTGTGAGGAAGTTGGAATGATGCAGGGTTGCTCCGATGATCGTTTAAGGAGCCGAATAACATTGAATTGACACTTGATTCTTTTTGGTTTATAGCATCTGCATCGTATGAGGTGCGCGGTCCACAAAAGGTCAGTCACTTAAATGTCTCGGCTTCATGGTTACGGGATAATGTGAACGCCAATACGCAAATCTTTCTAGCTGCTCCAGGAAGTCTGTTTTAAGGGTTATCAGCAGCGGCGTGCATCATCACATCGTATTGAAACTATAAAACTGCCATGCAATCATGCAGCATATAAGCTAAGTGAACGGTTAGCATCTGTGCAACAGCACAGTTTCTTGCACTTGGTTTAGCATCTTGGCTGCTGCCATTTAACAGGATTTGGACTACTATCTATTTTTTCAATGACACGTCTATTTTCAAATTGTTCTTTTCATTACTCACGTCTGTTTTACGTTTCACATCGCTACTGCCAATATGAGCTTCTCCGCAATCGCACTGCAACCTATTTTTAGATTTTTTCATTTTATTTTTTTTACTTTACATTGTTCTTTTTATTACGACCTTCTGTGGTATCCGTGCTACTGAGCCGATGCTTTTTAGAATAAGGAAAATGTTTAATTATAATCATTGCTGCGGCCACTGTGCACGCAACTGTAATTGGATTGCTTTACTTTATTTTGAAATAATGCAAACAATTTCACACTGCCCAGGGCTGGTTTTTTTTAATGTAGTGTATAATTTAGGAGTCTTATAAAGGCTCTTAGCGAGGCGAACACTAAATGTATCTCGACCGCTGACATGCTGCACTGAACTGAATTTGAACTACACTGAATTTTTTTCCTCCATTTTTTTCCCCCTTTCTTGCTATGGTCTATGTTTTGATGTTGCTAAAAATGATCGACCTCAGAATGGAGGAATGTTGGTTTAGTATGTATAACCGTGGCGGTTATACATACTAAACGTATTTACATTTCTGTTTTTATGAATTCATTTAAAGGCTATTTTTTTTACATTGTGTACACTTGATGTCAGAGGAAACCGAGTACCCGAAGAAAACCCACGCAGGCCCGGGGAGGACATGCAAACTCCACATGGGAAGACCAGAGCTGGAATCGAACCCTGCGCCTCTGCACCGTGAGGCGGATGTGCTATCCAGCTAATCCACCGTGCCGCCCTCAAGAAGGTCATTTTGACTCAAATTGTTCCTCACTTGTTCCTGCAGTTCTGCCCGTAAAACCCAGCAGGGCACGGCTCTCTGCAAAACTTCCCACGGTAGCCCGGCGTGCAGGTACACGTGCCGTCCGCCTGGTTGCACTTGCCGTGGACGCACTGGCAGTATCGGTCGCACCTGGGGCCCCACATCCTATCCCGGCAGTGGCAGCGCTGAGTGAACTGGTCGCATGGCGAGTTGTTGCAGTTACACTGGATGGCGCAGTTTCGCCCCGTCCAGCCGGGGCTGCACAGGCAGCGTCCCGTCATCGGGTCGCACATGGAGTTGACGCTGCAGTAGCAGTTGTTGTTGCACTGAGGGCCCCAGACCCCCGGGTGACACGTGCAGAAGCCCGTGTCCTGGTCGCATTTGCCCTTTTGGCACATGCAGGAGTTCTCGCAGTTGGGCCCCCAACGATTGTGGTTGCACGTGCACTTGCCCGTCAAGTCGTCGCACTGGCCGTTGGGGTGACAGTTGCATTTACCCTTGCAGTCAGGGCCCCAAAACTGGGCGGGACACTCTGGTTCGGGACGTAACAGAGACATCAGTTGACAATTTGAATGTAACAATTGTGTACAAAGGAAGAAACTAATAAATGATTTTCCATTTTGCGATGAATGGAAATCCCAACCCTTCCAGCCCCCGTCACAGTACGCAGTAGACACAGTCAGCTGCAGAAATATTAGTCTTTTTTTGCAGAGGATAAAGAATATATGCCTGTGAAGATTGCTATGTTGTCTTGTCTCAATGAGTTCCTGAGCCATTTATGTTCAAATACCCTTTGTGTCAAACTCCGGTCCTCGAGGGGCGTTTTCCTGCATGTTTTCCATCTCGCCCTGACATGCAAACTCCACATGGGAAGACCAGAGCTGGAATCGAACCCTGCGCCTCTGCACCGTGAGGCGGATGTGCTATCCAGCTAATCCACCGTGCCGCCCTCAAGAAGGTCATTTTGACTCAAATTGTTCCTCACTTGTTCCTGCAGTTCTGCCCGTAAAACCCAGCAGGGCACGGCTCTCTGCAAAACTTCCCACGGTAGCCCGGCGTGCAGGTACACGTGCCGTCCGCCTGGTTGCACTTGCCGTGGACGCACTGGCAGTATCGGTCGCACCTGGGGCCCCACATCCTATCCCGGCAGTGGCAGCGCTGAGTGAACTGGTCGCATGGCGAGTTGTTGCAGTTACACTGGATGGCGCAGTTTCGCCCCGTCCAGCCGGGGCTGCACAGGCAGCGTCCCGTCATCGGGTCGCACATGGAGTTGACGCTGCAGTAGCAGTTGTTGTTGCACTGAGGGCCCCAGACCCCCGGGTGACACGTGCAGAAGCCCGTGTCCTGGTCGCATTTGCCCTTTTGGCACATGCAGGAGTTCTCGCAGTTGGGCCCCCAACGATTGTGGTTGCACGTGCACTTGCCCGTCAAGTCGTCGCACTGGCCGTTGGGGTGACAGTTGCATTTACCCTTGCAGTCAGGGCCCCAAAACTGGGCGGGACACTCTGGTTCGGGACGTAACAGAGACATCAGTTGACAATTTGAATGTAACAATTGTGTACAAAGGAAGAAACTAATAAATGATTTTCCATTTTGCGATGAATGGAAATCCCAACCCTTCCAGCCCCCGTCACAGTACGCAGTAGACACAGTCAGCTGCAGAAATATTAGTCTTTTTTTGCAGAGGATAAAGAATATATGCCTGTGAAGATTGCTATGTTGTCTTGTCTCAATGAGTTCCTGAGCCATTTATGTTCAAATACCCTTTGTGTCAAACTCCGGTCCTCGAGGGGCGTTTTCCTGCATGTTTTCCATCTCGCCCTTTTGCAACACACCTTATCCAAATGATCAGCTCGTCAGCAAGCTCTGCAGAAGCCTGCTATCCATCCTGTTGAATTTGAATCAGGTGTGCTGCAACAGGGAGCGATGAAAAACGTGCAGGACGACACCTGTAGCTTAAAGAGTTACAACACAGCGATGGCAATGCTATTCATTAGCCTGTCTATACCGTTTTGCATTGTTTGTTAGCATTAAGCTAAACAAACTTTCTTAAGGCAAAGCTAAGGTAATCGTGCACGATGCCTTACTTGTGTCACAGCTGGCTCCGAAGTATCCATGGCGACAGCGGCATTCGTTAGGTCTGACACACACCTCGTTTTCCTTGCAGGTGAAATTGCCTTCACAGAGAGCTTTGAGAGAACAAAAAGTGGCTGCGTTATTCAACAATTGCGCATTGTATAAATCATAAACGTGTGCAAAGTTTGGCCGGGCGTGGGGGTTATTTATAGCCCATTTTTATTGGCTGGACGCATATTTTAATAATAAAGCTAAAGACAGATATGCAGAGATGTTGAGGCATTCATTTTTCAGCGGGGTGTAAGCCTCATTTTATACCCTTGATGATATTTTTTTTAATTATTCAAATTTGGCAGAGTCGTTCGCAACACCCTTCGGTGCGGTGTGTCAAATTTATAAGACGTGTTTATTTCTCACTTGACAGGAACTTTAAATACGGTTTGATTATTTAGCATAAATTGACCGACAACCAGGCACGTGCACCAGCCCACTTAGCTTGGATCCAAAAAAGTCAGTTGCAACTAAATAACCAATACAAATTGAATTGATGAAAAAGGTTTCTCTTCAATCCCCCTTTAAAGTTGTTTCATATTTGGACATCGCTGCTATGAATGAATTGTGCTGCGTGGTACGTACGTGTAAGGCATTCGTCCCCTAGCTGAGCCCATCCGCTGCAGCACGCCAACCCCGGAGATCTGGAAAAGAATTCCCAAAGTGTAAATAAGAGGAAGGGTGGGGGGTGTGGGGGTAGTCGGGGTGGGGTGCTGAGGCACCTGTTGTGAAACAACGCAGACATTTCAAAGTGGCGGCAACCGCACCCAAGTCTTTTGGTCACATCTGGGGAGATCAAACTCTTCAAGGCATTGACACTGTGATGCACATGCTGTGCACATGGTGGTCTAATTAGATGACTCATGCACTGTAAAAACAGTTAGGTCCAAAAAAAAACCCCAATATGGGTCAAAAAGGGACTGACAACTTTTGGGGTTATTCACTGAACCCCAAAAGTTGGGTCAAAATAAAGAACACATAAAACAAGCCCCAAAATTGGCCTGTTTTGTTCTTTGCTTTTTATGTGTTTTTATTTTTTGTACCCCACTTTTGTGGTAAAATGAATATTCCCCCCAAAAAGTGACCCTGATTGAGTTAAATTTTTTTTAGAATATGGGTCTCTACCAGCACAGTGCATTCAAAAAGCCCACCCAAGTGGAATTCTCTTTTTTCTCGTTTATCAGCTTCTGTAGCCTTTCCGGGCCTTTTGGAGAGAAAACAATCGAGGAGTCTAAATATGTAACAGTTTGCTGCCATTTTTTTTTTTTTTTTTTTTTGGGCTCTGTCAGGAAAGGACAAATTTGTCTCCTCTTCCTCCCACGACCGTGACCTTTGCGGGGCCTCTGCAACACATCAGCTGCCCCCAAAGTGTTTGAAGATGGCAGCTCGCTTCAGAGTCAGCGTGCAGGGAGTGACGCTGTTTTTTCTTATTCTGACAAATCGGCGCGTGGTAAAGATCAACCTCCGCATGCTTTCCCTTGCAGTGAAAAAGGAGTTTTTGGAACCGTGCGTGTCCGACTTGACTGCGCATGATGCTGGATTCCACTTATTTTATGCAGCCGCGCCTCTCCGAATCATGACAAACTGCTGCCAATGTGCACGGAGTTGACCCTCGTTGACCTTTTAATACACCGCCAATCCCTGTCAGCACTCGTGGGGGAAGATTGTGTGTTCGCAAGCACCGCTACAGCATAAAAATAGTCACTTTGGAGTCACTTTGTCCAGTTTCAAAAGACCACAAAAACAAAGGAACTTATATTTTTATTTGAGTTTTGGCCTTTCGTCGACAAACTTCCCTTAAAGGTCACTGGAAATTGAGTTTCCGGTAACTTGGGCCCAAAACTTCTGCCTATTGATTTATTTTTTTCTCTTGTTTTATTTATACCAACCGTGAGGGCTAGACGTGCCGTTTTGAATGTTAGAATATGTGACTTATGTTCTAGACGAGGCACAGGAATTTCATTGTTACAGGCAACTTGCATTGGGGCCAGGTATGCCAGTGGCCAATTCAGAATGATGGCCAAGGCAGTTTCACCTCCAGGGCGGGAATAACTTGACTTGCTACGTCATTAGAATTCAATCACAAAATCAGGCAGATCTGTTTGGGCTAGGGTACTTTAGCATGTGGTATGTAATACTATAATAGTATTTGGAAAACTATACGTTCAAGGTATTCTGAAGTCTCCGGAGGACTCCACTTCTCCTCCATTCCATGTTGTTATATATCATTTTGATAGAAATTACATCCCTCATGGTGATGTTTAGCAATTTTATCGCCCCCTGCTGTTGTGGAATGCACCAGACGGGCTGTATTGTTTGGTGGAAAAATATGGTGTCAATGATGATTTATGATTTTTTTTTTTTTTCCCCTGGTCCAGAGCGAAAAGACAATTTGTTCAAATAAAACACCCTTGTTGGCTGTTTTAGTGATTTAAAAAACAAACCGCTTTTCCTGTATGAGTTTTTCACTCGTCACAAGCGTTCCCCATATCGAATATGAGAATATAGTGAGTGCTGAAGGCATCACTGACATTCAACAGTTGACTTTGGGACGCAAAGACGTCCTTGGAAAGGCTGACATGTGATGATAAACACTGAGATGCTTCCCCCCATTCATTTGACTGCGGCTAGAGCAAATAAAGTACATACTGTAATGAGTGCAGTGGGAAAAATAAGGTCGTGGTGAGTGGCGGGCGCAGTGATTGTTGGCTATAGAATGAAGTGGGAAGATGACAAACAAAAGAGAAATGAAGTGGGCCAGGCCTGCGCTGAAAACATATACAAAGCAACTCAAAATAGTGATGACTGAAATATGCGGGCCATAAAGTCAGCCTTGGTGATACCGCAACAAATTTTCATGTCATTAAACAGCAGTATTGTTTTTGCGAAACTTTTCATCTACTATTGCCCACACGTGTTTAAATGTTTAGTGAACGAGATGTCAGAGTTATTGGCATCGTTGCAACAACCGGACATTTTTCAAAGGTAGCAAATACATACGCTGTACTTGTTCCCTTCCAAAATGACATTACTGGGGAGCTTGTTGAGGCTTCATCTTGCTCTGCAAGAATAATAAGAATGCGGTGGCCTCAAGCACATCTGTCTCCTAGTTTAGCACATCTGTCTCATCGTTTCGATGGTCTCGCTTCAAATCTTGGCTCGGACCTTGCTGTGTGGAATTTGTATGTTCTCCACATTCCTCCCATTTTCCATAAACATGTATGTAAGGAGACATTGGAGACTCGAAATTGTCCAGAGGTGTGAATAGGATTGCTTGTCTGTATCCTTTTACATGGCCCGACAATGACTGGCAACTAGTCCAGGGTGTTCTGCACATCTCACACTCAGTACTTAGTGAATTAGCTTGAATTAACTCCAGCCTTAACCCTAATGGATGTAGTGTAGGAATCTGTCCATCTATCTCGATCGGTAGCTGGCTATCTATATCTATATACAGTACCTAGCTAGCTGCTACCTATATATTTAGCGATAGCTAGCGCTACCCATATACTTAGCGAGCGCTATCTATCTATCTATCTATCTATCTATCTATCTATCTATCTATCTATCTATCTATCTATCTGCAATACATTGTAAGGTCTGTGCGTTGACAACAGCACCCCCTGTAGTACAATGCTAAGACTGCTACACACGGATGCACACATCTGTCCCGCCGACTCCTCCTCCTGCAGCAGCGATGAAGTGAACCGTGGAAAAAAAAAAGTGCCCGAAATGAAGCTCTTTGAATATATTCTACGAATAAAAGTGTCGCTGGCGCTCCCTGGATTACAACAAGCGAATTTCGCAACTAAAAGTGAAGTTCGCGTTGGTTGCGCCATTGCAGCCAAAAAGGCCACAAAGTACATACGCTCAAATTTCAGTTATTGTGGAAATTGTTCGTGTTCAATGTCATTGCAACACATCGTTGATTTTAACAGTGACAGAATGTACAGACAAATAAAGAGAAACATCAAAAAGACGAGTTGCGTTTCTTCAACAAGCATTAAAAGTTCATGCGATGCTCTTACCCGGTTGCTTTGCACACATTTCTGCCTTTGGGACGCAGTTTTTGGCTCTCAGCGAAGCTCAGAAGGAGACAAACCAGCGCCGCAAAAGCAATAAAGTTCTTCACTTCCATCGTACAAGCAGCAGCATCCTTCTAGACGCCTTTTTTTTTTAATTATTCCACACACAAGCTTTGCTTTTGCGCACTTAATCCAAATCTCTCTCCAGACGAGCCGTTAAAAAGTCCTACGACAATCCACTGCGACTCCAAGCTTGGCAAAATCAAACACGGCCGTTTCCCTCACTAAAGTCGTCCTCGTATGCCGCGCCGTTACTTCCATGAAACGCTCTCCTAAATTGAGGGCGGCGTGCAAAACTCGTGAGGAAAGAAAAGACAACTTCCCTGACGATGAACCGCGGTGGAAAAGTACAATCAAGTACAAAAAGTAGAAGGTCCCGCGATGGCTGTTCGTGCCTCTCTGAGGAGAACCACTTCACGTTTGTCCTCTCTTGCGCTCTCAGGAGTGGCAGGAGGGAAATTCCTGATTTGTTACTCTGTCTTTGGCTGTGTGTGCGCCACCAAATTTACATAGCGTGCGCGCCACGGGGTCTGCCCTCTAACTTATGCACGCCAAACTGCAACATGTGACTCCTAAATTCTACAACAAAGCTCGTGTGACATAGCCCACTACGAAGGAAAACATGATACATACATTAAAATAACACCATGCGGGGAAAATGAAAGTGAACGTTTTTTTTTTGTCGTTTCTGGTAAAGTGGAAATGAGGAACTTGGGTGCATCACTTTCAGTGGCCGTTTGGAGTGTGCGCATCAGTGACGCAATGGCTGCAATTTAGGGTTGTTCTTGAGGCGAGGCAATAGCTCCCCCTACTGATTACAACCAGCAATGGCTTTCAAACTTCACACTGCCTCAAAAAAATAAATAAATAAAAAATAGGTCACTTTCGGCTCAAGTGCTCATAAAACAAGGCAGATGTTGCATTCCTTCAAAGTATTTATCATTTAAAAAATATATTTTTAGCCGGAAGATATCATTGTAACGTATTTTTTAAATTAATGCCACAGTATCAAAATAAACACAAAATAATGGTGATCTTGTGTATCTTGATTGTCAGTCATCCGGAAACTACTTGAAAAGTGAAGTGTGTGCAGTACTGGATTAAAACAGTTTGCAACCTGTGATGTCGAACCTGTAAATGTGTTTTTTTTTCCTGAGTGCACCAGTAGGGGGACTCGTAGCACACTTTGAGAATCACAGCCCAGTGTTTTAATTACACAGGCTCACTTGTGGCTTTAATGGTCTTTTTTGGGGGGGAGGGGGGGGCGCTCAAGTGTGACCCCTCCAACATGAAAACAATCCAGCAGTGACTCAAGTACTTCGTGCTTCCGGACACACAACATTAGCTTTCTTTGCAGAGGTAATGATCCCCCTCAAAATGTTTTAAAACAAGATATAACCCCCGGATGGGTTCTTGAGTGTGTGTAAATGAACCCGTAAGCAAAGCATCATGTTATCATGTAGTGCGTCATTATGTACAGTTCTGTGAAAATTAATTTTAAAAAGTCTTCCTGCATTGTGAGGACGACAGACAGAATTCGCAGCACTTGATCGAATGCCAGATTTCCTGAAGCACACGTTCCATTGACACTGCCTTTACAAGGACGAACTGTTGCATGCTTACAATGATACAAAACATAATTTCCATGCCGATTAAAAATAATAATAACTCGGGTTTTTTTTCCTTAGCGCATCAGGTTTTGGAGATATTTTATTTTTTGTTGCTGTTGTTTTTAAGTATTTGACCAGGTATTGTAATTCGGAATTATCGTAAAAAAACCAAGAAAGGACCTCAATTATAATTCCCTGGTATTTACTAAAAGTTTACGATCGAAAATCCCAGCTCGTATTATTCTCAAAGTAACAGAACATGATTTTTGGCCACTCGACATGAGCGATCAAGTTAACAGCTGAGGCAGGGTAGGCAAGTGAGCCATTGCTTCCCCCTGCTGGCCGTTCTATGCATGTGACGAGTTAAAAAAACAAACACAAATATAAAGATCACATTCAATTACGTTCTATTTTAGTTCTACGGCCCATGCTCTACATTGATGTTCTTTTTCAGTCCAATAATTCGAAACATGCAATTATAATACCAGAGACCGTGGTTATTTCATTATCAGGGCTTTCATAACATATGAAATAGAAAATAAAGACCAAATGTTTGTTTTTTTTTATTTTGGAAAGGAGAGTTCTGCAAAAACAATAACAAAGACAATGAACTTGACCTTTTATAAAATATATTTTTGTTTTTCTTGCTTTGACGTTGTTGAACACGAATTGGGTGTGAAACTCCGGTCCCCCGGCCGAGGACCGCTTTCCTGCATGTTTTCGATGTGTTCCTCGTCCAGCACACTTGATTCAAGTGTTCAGCTCTCCATCAAGTTCTGCAGGAGCTTGATAACGATCTTGATCATTTCAATCAGGTGTGCGAGAGAAGGGAAACATCCAAAACATGCAGGATGGCAGCCCTCGAGTGTCGAAGTTTTGACATCTATTGACCTTATGTGGAACACGTTTCAATGAAGGTCAACATTGAAATTGAGGCGAGTGTTCTAATTTGGGTTTCAATTTTCCAGTAGAGCCTCACCACTCATGAACCTCACACGCACGTCACGAAACGCGCTTTCAGCGGATGCGTGGGCCATCCCAAAAACTCAGCAAAACAACTTTGCATCGCACAGACACTCCCACTGATGCAAATGAGAACGCGGATCTCCATCGTGTGCGGTCGACGCTCCGGCGCGTTTCATAACACGCCAGAGCTCGATCCGGTGGTGTGCTCTCATGTTGCCGGTAGCAGCAGTCACGCGAGCCCGGGCCGAGGTGCACCTCGGGCGGCTACTCACCGGCCGAAGACCGCGGCTCCCCCTGAGCGCCTCGGCGGTCAGCCAAGCCCAGCAGACGCAGGTGGACGTGGGAGCTCGACATGTGCACTCAGAAGGACGTGGGGCTTGTTCGGGACGGGACAGCGGTGGGGTATCTGTGGACTTTGAGCACACCCGGGAGGCTTATAAGAGCAAGGACTCGTTGGAGCTCCTGAGAAGTCTGATGGTTCTCAAGATGTGCTCCTTTGACTTCCTGGTTGATAAGAATCAAGAGGTAATGAAGCTTTTATTAGGTTCCTTTGAATGATAGTGGGAACTTTTTTTTTTTTTTTGCCAGCTTCGAGTTATCGGCACCATTAAACAAAAATATGATCATATAATATAATATATCACAGTTATGTTATACTGTAGTACAGAGTGCTGAAACAGGAAGTGGCTTTAGGAAACTATTATGAATCACCCATGAGAATATACGTTACACTTACTTCAATTGATTATGGAACATTAAACAAAATATTATAGAATATAAAACAAGATTAGTTATTGTGCTTGCTATACAGGAAGTGATGAAACATGAACCGGCATTGGGAAACTCATGATAAATTAATCATCCACAGTGAGAACATATTGTACCCTTATAAGACACTACATTACATTAGTACTGTACTGTATCAAGTTAGGCAGAGGTCCAGATTTTATACAACTACAGTTTTCATCTACTCTCACCAGTGCAACCAGTATTTAAAAAAAAATAATTACTGTTATTGAAATATTTTTTGTTGCTGGCAAACCTCAGCCCATTTTCTGCAGTATCGTGAAAATGAGTGGGATGAATATTTACTTCAAAAGTAAGTTGCCAGCGTATGACCTCGAACATTTTCAGTTAGGGTCCACTCTACAGCCCTGAGTTAAGGATGCACCACACTCATATAAGTATAATGCTTTGTTACTACAATGATGATAGTTAACTGTTTTGTTACGTGCTTTGTTACAGCTGCAGCTATATAAATTAGGATGTAATGTATTGTATTGTATCGCAATTTCTTATTTGTTTGGTTTCATCAAATCAACTTATTGGCATGTGTGCACTACACTGCACCCTGGAGGCCAAAATACACGTAACAAAAGCAAGTAAGCAACATTTCACTATACTGTATACAATTTAGTCACGCCAGCTGTGGTGATACTTAGAAGTAACATTTCTTCTTTCTTATACTACTTAGAAGTAACAAATCTATGTCCAATTTTTTTTAAAGTAGCTATATTAGAAGCTACATGGGGGGGGGGGGCAAAACATTATATGATGACATAATTCCAATAGATGTTCTATTCCAAATAGACCAGCCTAAGTAGCTATTCAACAGCAGCATTTTATACAGCTTCTGTATTGGCGCTCACAAGACGGTGTACCTAATAAACCGGCCAATAAGTGCACCGTACTATTTGCTGCCACTTACAATACATGACAGTTGAATAATCAATGACATAACAGTTCCTAAGACATGACGATGCCAAAGATAATGTCATTCATCACTGGGCCTTGTGATTTGTTTTACACACTCGTGACGAGTAAAAACAGCTTCAGGTTGCGTGTGAACCTCGGGCCGGCATGGAACACCCACTTCTCAAATTGCAACTCGTTTTTCCAGGCAAGCCAGCGCTCCTGTTTGCGCATGTGTTGCTTTCATTTAGCGTCACCCTCTCGTCAGTGGTATGTAGGCTGACGACAGCCACAGCACAACAACATCGCATTGCTTCCATTCATAGGTTGCTCGCTGTATGAATAGGAAAATCGGTTTTAATTTACATGCATAATTTGGAGAGCTATAACATGTTACATATTAATAAACATGATCAAGGTGATTGAAATCAAATCTTTTGAATATCTACCTTTCTTGGACAGTATTGTACCCCGTGTATTGGGATAATTATCAAATTTTATTTTATTTACACAGCCCTAGAAATAAGGCTTTGAAAGAGTGAAAAGTCAAGCCTTTCTCTCCGCTCACAAATGCAGCGTGGGTATTTCCGTTTGAACGTGCTTTAACCACACCTCCTAGCTCAACTGTCAATCACGTACCAATGGATGCTACTCGTCTAGCGTCGTTCTTATGCATCCGCATCACTAAATGTGTGGGATGAAAAAATATATCCGCTCAAAGCTGCGGTGACTGATATACTGCATATACACACCACAACAAGGAGCACTCGAGCAGCCACCCCAGCGGACGATGGAGGCGCTCTAATTGTTATTTTGTGGGGGAGGGCGACTCATTCCAGAGCCAAAAACAGTTAGGAGGCGCTGTTTTAGCCACGCCCCCAAATTGCGGACTACATGATTTTCAGATCATTTCGAAAAGAAACAATCTGAATTTACTTCCGAAGCACTTTAAAAGTTTGAGCACGTTGGAGTCGACCGGCATCACGGATTGTATCGTTTGATTTCGGAGGTGCCGCTGTACCTTTCCAATCTGTTCAGGGTCAAATCGAAGCTGTCGACGATCCCAGAAGGGATTCATTTGTAGGCTGTATTATTCTGCATTCTTGAAGTCGATATATAATATATTACAGAGTTTTAAAAAGGCTCGCCTTCAGCTCTCGCCACCTTTAACTTTACTGGATGAGTTAAAGGGGTTCCCTTTTCTTTTTTTTTTTAATGTGTCTCTTTTTGAGAGGAATTTCTACCTTGAGACTTGCAAAGATGCTTTTCTTCCTAATAAAGGCGTGTATGGCCGCTTTTAAAAGTCTTTCCGGAACCAGTCTTGTCAGGCAAGACTGATGCTTTCAAAACATGCCGAGACACAACCAGTCGCTGCAGGGACATTGTGACTGACGTGAGCGCCGGAGCGTCTTCCGTCATCCAAGTGTTGCCAAATACTCCCGATGAGGCGTCATCGGCACCGCGACGTTTGAATATTCAATTAACCGTCATGCTCGAGCGGGGAGAAATAAAAAAGCAAGATCCGCGGTGGCTCTTGTCAACTCAGCAAGTCTGAATGTGTTTGAATGATTCAAGGAAGCCCTCGGGTGACATCATCCTGCATTTCTGCTCAGATAATGGATTTCGGGAAGAAGGTGTTGGGTCAGAAAGCCTTTGATCAGCTGATGAAGATGACGTTTTACGGGCAGTTTGTGGCCGGCGAGGATCACAAGGCCATCAGGCCGCTCATCCAGAAGAACCTGGCCTTCGGTGTGGGCTCCGTGCTGGACTACAGTGTGGAGGAGGACATCAGCCAGGGGGAGGAGCCACACCCAGCAATGCGGTAAGAAAGTTGCACCGTTCTCCAAAAACAGCAGCGTATGATGATAATACTTTACACCGAACGGAGGGACAGATATTTTGGATTTTAGACAAAATCGATGATCAGTTGAAATGTCAATAATTAGCCAATCCACTCATGACGTCATCGATCAGTTCAGCAACATGAGCCATTTCAAGCAAACATCATTTTGTTCACTCCTACACTTCTCTCTCCTGATCCTCAGCTCCAGCAGACTTGTCCAACAGCGCCGACATCTCCGCTGAACAAAACGGGACTGTCAAAAATGCTGCCCATTACAGGCGCAAAAAAAACCCCACAAGCGCCCCCGGGGGCTGTCCAGCGTCGATAGTCAAATAGCGGCAACATTCCTCCTAATCAAAATCAGTGCTGGCACATACCCGATTTTCAGGCGTTTGTTATAATTTCTTCCCAATGTATTTCAAATTTTGGCAATTTTTTTTTCTCCCCAATTCACCAATTGCAAGTATGTATTCAATGTAAAATCCATTCCTTCCTGACAGCCAATGGCTACAACAAGCTATTTAAAATTATTATTATTTTTTTTGGGCAGTCCAACTTGTTGGATTATGCTTGCAATGCAAAATTGCCCAGAGCTAATAGCGCAGGCTTTCTGCGAGTTGCAACATTTGAATAATATGTCACACTTGTTTGCTACCAAAAAAAACAAAGAGTAAGAATATCCTTCACGTGACGGGCCGCTGTCAAGCATGTCTCACTTGTGAGGAATTTGCTCACATGAGGAGCCGCGCGGTCGACGTGACCTCCTATGAAGCCATGCGACCGCTGCGCCCGGAGAGCAGCGGCAAGGACGCCCCACTTGAAGCGCTTCAAAAAACCAACGCGGCGCGCTTTTGAACTAAAGTCAGTGCGGCTTGGCGGCTGGACGTGTCCGCTTCATTCTCATTCTAACGCTGAGCTTTTTACATTTCAAACATCGCGCAAATGTTGAGTTGAATGAAGGTCGAAACAAAAGAAAGCCTGCAGTGGGTCTGTCCAAGTGTCAAAGTGACACTGACGCACGCTGACAGCTGACTTCAAGTTCAAACGTTCCATACGTTGCATAAAAACTTCGACAAACCTCTGTTCAAATGACAGGTTTTTGTGAAGCCCCCCATCCAAAAGTAGACCAAGATCAGAACTCTACCTGTCGAACGCATTTATTCCCTCTTGTTTCTTCTTCTTTAGTTCAAGCGGCTCCCGTGCAGACAAAGGTCAGTCAGCTCACTCGATTGTCCTGCTCAAAATATACAGTCCAGTACAGTCTTTTTTAAATGTATTTATTTATTTTTGTCTCCGGCAGGCGGCGGCGGCGGCGACAGAGACACATTTGGTGGATCCCAAACGTATTTCTATGCAGATGAGAGCAAATGCGACCAACATATGGAAACATTTCTTAAATGTATCCGGGCATCTGGTAAGCAAAATGGAGGCTTCTGTACGCATCAGAAAACAGAACTGTGAAATGGATCACGCAACAGACATCCCAGAATGAATTGTTATGGTGGATGTGTTGTCACGGCACTCCTTCGCTCCTCGGGCACTATCGCTCTGATTTGAATCTGTTTGAGGATTAGTAATTTTATGACATCTAACCAGTGGTGTGACTGTCGAAATACAAGCTCCTTTGCCGGAGGTTATGATCTTCGCCCTCATTTTCCATACAGGTTTAATTAAATTTCTGTTTATCTATTTATTTTAGCTCCTGAACCTGGAAGTAGCATACTAAAGTAAATAAATAATACACGTCAGGCTTCGCTAACTGGATACTTGTTTTCACAGGGGATAAGGGGGAATATGTTGTCAAAGTCACATACTCAAATATTAAATAATTCTAACTTCCAGCCAAAATGAATATTTAAATGTTATTTATTTATTTTATTTTTGGGCAGGGACGAGTCCAGGATTTTGTTTTCTACCCCCTTGGCTGCAGGGTGGCTTGACCGATACATATGGGGGCTGGGGTGGGGGTGGGGGGTATATTTTAGTAATAAAATGCTGTCGGGGCTTAACTGGGGCTATGCAGATTTCTGACCGGGCTATAGCTGCCCCGAATCTCTTGTGTAGCGCCATCCCTGGTTCTTGGTCATAAGAATTCTGTGTCAAGTACAATTGTATCTCAAATCATCTTTCCCATTTGAAACGAATAGAAATATCATTCATAACTCATTGAAAAACAATAATTTTTGTGTTTTATGAATAAGGACAATAGTACTCTGTTATATTGCACATCATAAAAATTGACACAGACATACAGATATGTATAGAAATGAAGGAGACGGTCACAACGTCTCAGTCAGCTGCAGTCCGCTTGGTCGTTTTTGGCAGAGGATAAAGAATAGATGCCTGTGGGTACTATGACATTGTCCGTCTTCAAGTGTGTTCAAATATCCGTTGCGTTAACGGATTTTAACCCCACAAGACCGATGCTCTTCATGAGCCCATCTATGGCATTTTGCATTGTTTGCTAGCATTCAGCTATGTGGACCAATGTGGACTTTTCTAAGGCATAGCTATTGGATTGTTTGAAATAAAATGCTATGTAAATGGTTAAAAATGAAGTCTCTCCAACACCTGCAATAGGTGGGAGCTCAATGGACGGCTTTTCTGCCATCAAAATGACCGCCCTGGGCCGACCTCAGTTCCTGGTGAGATGTTTCAGCTCAGTGTCAGCGTCTTGTTCGAGCATTGCACTGACCTGGCACCTTTGTCCTTCAAGCTCCAGCTCTCTGAGGTCCTCGTGAAATGGCGACGATTTTTCACCTTCCTCGCATCCAAGCAGGATCAAGATGGCATCGATGTCTTGGAGCAAAAGTTGAACCTTAAACAGATGCAGGTGCCTCGCTTCGTCTCATATTGAGCTTGTTTTCTACACACATGTTTATTTCCGTATTTTCAACGTCGATGTATCCCGTTCAGGAATTTTTGAGCGGCGTGGGAGCAAAAGATGACTTCTGCAGTGTGTTGACTGCACAGAAAAGGGAAACTTCAGGGTGAGTATGAGAGTAGTGAAGAAAAATCTGTCTCACATGAAAGGTTTCCATTTTCACGGCATCTGCTGCGCTGGAGAACTGAATGAGGATATGCAGCCCAAGTTGCTTCACTTTCTAATTCTATTTCGTTCCCTCTAAGTGCAATCTGTTGGCCACAGAAAGCACATAACACGGTGTAGCCACTGTGTTATGTGCTACTCCCAGCACAATACAAGGAATATATTCATGGGAATAGTTTATTCCTAAACTATGAGCATAGTTACCAAAATCAACACATGGCGTCACCAGCTACCATGAAGAAAAAAAAATAAAATTTTTGGACCATAGTGAGAGCTAAACAACTGTTTCAAACACAAAAATGTAAATGGGATCTAATATAATCTGGGATTTCAGTTCTGCGCGCGCACACACACACACACACACACACACACACACACACACACACACACACACACACACACACACAAAATGTCCGTGGATCGGGACTAATCCAATATTTCCTGGGTTACAGTGGTTTGAAGATCAAGTAGCTAAGCCGTAAACTGCTGGGGAGCAACTTGTGCGAGTCATATTTTTGATGTTCTGTTTTGGCAGCACTATTGACCTCCTAGAATGGGATCGCATCTTTGATGACAGAGCCAATCTGGCGCAACTGCTTGTTGTCCCGAACGTTCAGGTCAGTCAAGATGGAATTCAGAACTCAAAAACTCCACACGGCGCACACCTCTGCCGAGGACTTTCTTATGTTGACACTTGGAATGGGCGATGATACTTTTGGAAGAGACTGGACTGTTTCACAATTATCTATGTTAATTATTCCTTTGTTGTGTGTTTCCAAATTTAATGCCATTGAAGCTATTGTAAGATGAAGGGTTCGATGTTTTTTTAATGGATGGCTCTACTTGACGAAACGGCAAAAGGAGAGATGGATTCCGTTTGAACGCAGCTTTCTTGAAAAGGACGTAAAAAAAAAAACCCTCTTAGCAACTAAAATCACTTCCTGCTTTTTCTTACTTCAACAGCCAATCAGAAGCAATCAATTTAAAAACATGTCTAAGCACTTATTAAAACAACAGAATGCAATTTAGGTCATCTTAACATGAAATAATATGATGCTCAAACATAAAATGATGATTAGTAATATAACATAAGCTTACACAATCATTAATTTACGTTTTTCGGAGGCGGTCTTTGAACGCCTCTCGAGCCGAACGCAGAAGTTGTCGGAGAGAGGGACGTGTCTGTATTTGTTTGAAAGTTTTAAAAGAATTAATAAAGTGTACGTTTAAAAAAAACAACAGCACTGCAGCTCACTTTGTTTCGCAGCTGCAACACTTTTGTGAATCAAATCAACCTTTCGTGCACCCTGTAACATGATAATACGATGAGCTGTCCACTGTAGAGACCGCTGTCCCTGAAATGGTTAAAAAATGTTTATTTTTGGCTGTACCATTTGCAGATGTGTGATATTTGTGGCAGGGCTTGGAAGTGAAACTATCGTGGCTTAAAATGAAATTAAGAGAGAAACCTTTATTCAGATTCAAAATGTTTTATGGAAATCAGCTGTCTGTGTGTGTGTGTGTTTTTTTTTTTTTTTTGCCTGACAAACCAATCGATGAAATAACACCTGTTGCCTTTGTGCCTTTGGCGGAGGTAATTACGCTAACCAAATCACACTTTCTGTTAGTGAATGATAAGGAGTTCAATTACTACCTGGTCTTTGTCATTCCATTAGGGCCCATTAGAATCTAATCGTCTTCTTGCTTCTTTGCTCAGCTCGGTGAACTGCAGCCTCTGCTGAAAGACTTCACCGCCGAGGAGGAGGGCCAAATGAAGAGGATATTGCAGCGCATGGATACTTTAGCCCAGGTAATCTCTCACAGCCTGATTCTACAGCATCAGGATGTGGATGTTTCTTCTTTTTTGTTTTTTTTTAAAATATAAACGCAGCATGCAGTCAAGAATGGTGTCCGCTTGATGGTGGATGCAGAACAGACCTACATGCAGCCGGCCATCAGCAGGCTAACACTGGAAATGCAGAAGGTTTACAACAAAGACAAGCCGGTCATCTTCAACACCTACCAATGCTACTTGAAGGTCCGAAAGCACGATCAGCGTGAAAACGCGATGATGTTGTCAATAAAAGGTGCCGCGAGATCTCCATTCTGTCATCTTCGCTGTTTGTTCCGCAGGACGCTTTTGACAAGGTAACGTTGGATGTCGAGTTATCTCGACGCGAGGGCTGGCACTTTGCCGCCAAGCTGGTGCGAGGGGCCTACATGCACCAGGAGCGGGAGAGGGCACTAGAATTGGATTATGAGGACCCCATCAACCCTGACTATGAGACTACCAACGCAACGTACCACAAGTAAGCGTGAGAGTTGCTTGAAAAGCGTCTTCTGGGAGAAAGGCATGAGCCATAACTAGCCCGGTTAGCCTGCGGAACTCCATTAACCCCTTCAGGGACAGCGGTTACGACAGTGGACAGCTTATCATGTTATAAGGGTTAAAAGTATGTCGAGTTCTTTTTCATATGAGGAGAAATGAGTTCCATAAAATGTGTAATAATCCCCCAAAATGGTACAAAGCCCTCATCTTATGGAGTTTTGTTCCTATGGCGGCAGAGTACTGGAAATTTGAATTTGTCGTAAATTGGAACTGAATGTGGCCTCTCAATAACATATGCTAATGCGGTGGTAAAATCATCATGACAGCGATTGACTCCACGCCTTGACTGTGTGATGACGACATGTACCGTACATACATTACAAAATCCCAATCCAAAGACATGGGGCAAAAAAAAAAAAAAAAAACAAATCAAAATGACAGTAAATAGTTGTATGAAAAACAAACTTGTTCGTCGCGCATCGTTTGTAGGGCTTCGAGGTCTTCAGACTCGAGTCAATTCGTGGAGCCCAGAGTTCAAAGCAAACATGGTGAAGCAGCATTGAGCTGTTACGCTGCAGGCAAATCGAAAAAGATGCCAAAAGAAGTCAAGTCAGCCTCAAGTGGAACGAGTGTTTAAAACAGAGTTGAGGGATCCGATTGGCTAACATAAGGGACCCGGGTGACAACAAGGCGGAAACAAAACCCAAACGAGGAAGATAAAAAAAGCGCACGAGGGGACTCAACCATGAAACAAAACCAAATGTCATCGAAACAAAAAACAGAATCATGACAGTGACGACGTATATCACAGTTCATTGGCCATCATTCGCCGCCTCCAAATGTCATCATTACAGTCAATATTTGTTGGAAAATCACTTTTAGGCCATTGTTACGAGACAATAAAATATACGACCGCCAGCGCGGTGCTTACTGAGCTTCCCGTCTACCCTGTCTGTGCTTTATAACCTTTTAATGATGTTTGGAGTTGTTTCAAGCCAAAATAAATAAATACCATTTTAAAAACGTGAGATGAGCACTTTTTTTCATTTACATGCAACTTTACCCATGTGTTTTTTTTCCCAGATGTTTGGATTACATTCTGGATGAGATCGCCCTCCGCAGCAAGGTCAACGTCATGGTGGCCTCCCATAATGAGGACACAGTGAAACACACGCTACAGAGGTACATCTTCACTTCTCTTCGTCATCCTCAAGTGAATTTTTATAAATGCTTATGTCTTTTTTTTTCTTCTATCTCGCCATCAGAATGAACGAGCTCGCTCTGTTGCCCAGGGAAAACAAAGTGTTCTTTGGCCAGCTTCTGGGCATGTGCGATCAGATCAGCTTCCCGCTGGGTGAGCAAAACACACACGCGGAAGTCACGGCGAAACTTATGATGTCCTCCGAACCCTTAATGCGATCGTCTGAGTCCGAGTCCGGTCTTGTGAAAATTGGGCTGTCGCGAGCCCATGCGGTGACATCTGAAGTGAGGTACCTCGGCATTGACGAGTTGTCTCGGTGAGCCGCCGCTGTCGGTTCTCGCCCTGTTGCTTGTCAATCACGCGCACGAGCAGGATGTTGTCTGTTCCACTTGAAAGGGCCTCGCATCCGCGTAAGACGCGCGGCTCTTTCTGCGGGGACCAAGCAACCGTTGCCGACAGGCTAGAAAGGGGGAAGTCGAGTCAAGAAATGATAATCCAATACAATCATATGTTCTACGCATTGGTGGAATAGGAATGACGTGGCAAAATCCCAAATCCTAAAAACCCGTTTTTATCCATCTTCAAAATGACATCAGAGTGCCTAAGGCAGGGGTGTCAAACTCATTTTTGCCGCGGGCCACTTTGGAGTTACGTCTTCCCTCAGAGGGCCGAATAAATGTTTCATCATCACATCATATTATATGACTTGTACACCACAAATTGATGGATTAGTAGTTTTGGAATCAGTCAACTATTTGTTTGTTTGTTCACTTATCGTGAGTGTAAACAGAGGAACAAAAAAAAAAAAAGATTGCAAAATCTCAACGTTATTTATGACACATGACAATTTGACATTTCGGTACAGATTTTAGAAAAGGATCAGGGAAGTCGCCACACATGATCTGCTTTCTTGGGCCACATAAAATGACGTTGCGGACCAGATGTGGCCCCCGGGCCTTGGGTTTGACACCTGTGGCCTCAGGGCTCAGCTAATGGCCGTTGCGGCTCACCGCATTTCTGCATTTGGCCATGTGACATTTGCAAGCTGAGCCCTTAAGTAAACTGTTCGGGCCCTCGGTGATCATTTTACAAAGTTTAAACCCGACAAACAACGCAAGGTCACGAAATAAAACCGACGCACAACTGACGCCGTCGCTCAACACGCAGTGGCTAACGGATTAGCCTCTTCAAAGCTAGCGAAGTCGACACTCTCATTCGCCGACTGCCTCAGCAGGCCAGGCCTTCGCCTTTTAAAATCCCTCGCATTCAGTCACAGATACGACAGTCCTGCGGCACGCGAGGACGGTGAACTCAAGTGGACAAATAAATCAATAAAATAAGACCGGCACCTTCCATTTTTCCCATTTTCCTTCACTTGACATGCAACGCCAGGCCAAGCAGGCTTTCCGGTCTACAAGTACGTCCCCTACGGCCCGGTGAATGAGGTGATGCCTTACCTGAGTCGGAGAGCCCAAGAGAACCGAGGCTTCATGAAAGGCGCCCAAAAGGAGAGAGAGCTGCTGTGGAAGGAGCTGAAACGCAGATTGGCCTCCAGGGAGTTTCTCTACAGACCCATCTACTGAAAGCGGTGAGGAAGAGCTAGCTGCTCTCAGGATTTCTTCTGTCGCTCTCTCCTTTCTGCCTTTATGGTCCTCCGCCGTGTATTTCTTTCGTTTTATTTCTCCCGGTGCCGTTGCAGTCGAAAGCATCACTTGTTGATGTTTCCCCACATGCTCCCGATCCCCCTTTACGTTTATGTCCGTTCTTCATTTCGCTCTCCTTTTGTCTGCAAAGCACTCGTATCACTCAAGCGGGCATCTTAAGTGCTCCAACAGGACTCGTGAAAATGTCAACGAGTCCTGGGCAGTCGTTCCTTTTCATGCGCCTATTCATCACGCGCAAGGACAACAACACGCACGGCTAAGAGGCTTTATTTAAATGCTAATAAATGCATTATCTGTATTGGTCATCCATTTGGGTTGGGTTTTTTTTTTTGTTTTGGTTTAATAATGGACATGCCTTGTATATTTGTGTTTTTAGCCTGTTCACGAGCTAACGTGTCCTCATTACATCGCTTATGTTGTTATTGTGCCTTGTGCTCAGTACTCAGGGAGGGAATCGTATTTTTATACCAATGCCTGCAAGTGTCTTTGTTGTCTTGGCGCAAGACCGTGCTCAGCGGTGCACCGACACAATTTCGTGGGATCCAATCATGTATCAGTGCTGTTTTGTTATCGTCAATAAGCACTTCTCTCACCCTTTCAGCGCAGATGCTCACATTTCTACACTCGTTCCTTCATTTCCAGCCCACTTTAATCTCCAAACAGGACACCACACCATTCCCACTTCCATTTGAGTTTCAGTCGTTTGGATAAATTTGAATGAAATAATTCAACACTTCCAATAAATGCCTTTTTAAAAATTCTGTCTCTGGAAAAAAAAAACATACAGTGTATATGAATATTCTTACTTGTGCTTGTTAATTTGTGTGAAGTTTGATCAGCAAGAACTGGAAATGACTGTTTATGGCTAGTTTCCTAACGTGTCACGCTCCACGGTGTTATAGACCCTCAGTCACTTTTGAATCCAAGCCATCCTTCACGATAATGACGTCCTCGGATTTGGGCCATCGGCATTCAGTCGAATTTCGTTTTATTATTGTCGACACTTTGCCCCCAATATACATCACAGAAGTCCGATGCATTAATCATCACTCAGAGGAAACTTGTGAAGCTGTTCAGTTTTACTGGGGAGAAGCGCCACCGAGCCGCCACTCCCTCGGTTTAATTAAGAATCGTGTTCTTTTTGATGCAAAATGTGCCTCTTTCGGCCGTTCATTTGCCAACAAATTGCGTCTTACAGACAGCTGCACTTTTCAGTTAGAAAGATAATTTTGTGTACGTGGGCTCCGCAAATTCTCCCGACATTAAAGCACACGAGTCAGTAATGGAGGCAGCCAGAGCTAATTTACTTTGCATGATGAATGCCATCGACTTGTGCTATGCAAGATTTTCTTTTAGTTTAATGACTGCACGGTTCCACATTGTTGTGTTTGTTGGACTGCGGCCTTGGCGCGACGCTTCCCTTGAGACAGCAAAGCCGTCCGGAGCATTTTTTTTTTTTTCCTCTTCTTTGCCTATTCGCACGCGGCTTGATCTGCCCCGATGTGAAATGGACCGAACAAGTGAAAAGAGCAAAGCAAAGCTGATGGATTTACGTGCCGCCATTTGGATTCCGCCAGCCAGTGAATCCCGGACTGGTTTGTGGTGCCAATTCACAGACAGACAAACATTAACAATAACAACAATGCGGGCCATGTTTGGCATTTTCTCTTGGCAGCAAAGCAGGAGGAATGAAATGATTCCATTCAGGACGGCGGTTAGTCGTTCGTACAACTGCCTCACAGCTCTTAGGTTCAGGTTTCAAATCCCCACTCCGCCCGTCCTGTATGGGTTTGTATATTTTTCCCGTGCTTGGGCGGGAATTTTCCAGGTTAATTAGAATCATGGAAGGCAATTAATTGACTTGGTCTTTGTAGCTCTCACCCAGTTTTTTTTTTTGTGTGCTAATGGATATTTATTAACATTTTTCTAATGTGTTTCGAAACAGATTTTGTTCTTTTTATAAACATATAGCAATGATGGAATTAAACAGAATGCAAATAAATCTGACTTTTTTTGTGCCTCAAATTTGGCATGTGGCTCTCTCTTCCTTCTGATGTTTGTGCCATGATCACTGGGAGGACAATATCATACAATACATACTGTACATAAAGCTGGTCCTGAAAAAGCTGCAGTCATATCAGTTGTTTGCGGAGAGGATAAAGAATATATGCCGTATTTCTTTTTCTTCCCATGTGCTGCTCCATTGCTTGTGTTCAAACACACATCATCAGTGGCTTTGCCATTAAAAAAAAAAGTTAGATATATATTTTTTTCAACTATATAAATGCTATTCTAATGCACACAAAAGGTGACGGGAGTCAACTTCATATTTTTGTGCTGAACTAACTTGCATTCACTGCATTTTTTTTTTTAATAATCTTTGAGCATACATGTACAGTGGCCCCACCCTTTCGGACTCTGAAGTCCTCTTTTCCTTCTCATTCAGGTCCGAAATGATGACGTCAACTGAAATAAACGGCGTTGTTCAGTGAACCTATGAATGACAAATGTGATGAATCACTGGGCCAAATGAGCTGATCTGACCGCATCCGTACCCATGGAATCTCCCTGGCCACGCGGCAATCTGATGAGAGCCGACGAGTAAACAAATGAGTCCTGGGAGTAAACACAACAGATGGGACAGACGATGACTAATCTCACCGGCCTGAGCTGAGGCGCAGCGTACCACGGAAAATAAAACGCAATGGAGGGCTGGAATGCAAAGTGTGTGACTGAAAATGTGTATATTTCACACAGTGGACTCAATCATCTTCAATCATCTTCACTGCTTCAAAGTTATTCAAATCATCTGCATACTTTTGATTCTTTTCCAGGCAGTCATCAATACTGAAAAGTTTGTTTTAGAGCAACTACTTTTCGCTGAGAGGGAAGCTGTCAAGGGGGCAATACCGCGCCGAAGTCGAGGGCAACCCCAAACTTTGTTATTTTAATGAGCTTGGATGCAAAAAAAGAAAAGGTAATTGGTGGGACGGACTTAATTAGCAATGACAGTTAACGGCTCGGTGGCAGAGGGGTCATCTATCCCTGGCCATTGTGACCATTTCGAAGTGCCCTTGAGCAAGATACTGAACCCCCAGAAGCTCCTGATGCTGCGTCACCAGTACGTAACGGTGTGAAGCGCTTTGAGTCGTGCGAAGGTAGAACATCGCAATACAAGTAGCAGCCCATTTCATTCAGCTCAACTGATAGCAAGCTTGCTAGTTAGCACCCATGTGCTTAACTAGCCAGTCTTTCAATAATAACATTAACTTCGTCTGAATTTCAAATACATGTTTTTTTTTTTTTTTAAATCAACGTGCCTGTTAAAATGTAAATTACACGAGACACAATGGTGAAAGGGTTCAAAAGTGATTAACCTAAGACAAGGAAACTGCATCTATACTCTCGTGACACTTAGCTAGCCTGTTAGCTTGCATTTAGCACGGTTCACCGACTGAGCCCACAACTCAACATAGCGGTTTCGATTTTCAGAGTGTAAAAACAAATATGATTTAGGTCATGAAAGTATACGACACACGTTGAGGTAAATCTGCATTTTGAATGAGTTATTTAACAGTTGGCCGTGTCAAATGTTTACATCATCCTTACACGGTAGATGACAAACGCTGAACGTCACACGCTGTCCCCCCCCCGATACCTAAGTCTACGTTTCCGTGCCAATGAGTGGCGCCCATGTATTATAGATCATTAGACCACTTTCATCTCCTCTCTTTGAGATGCATGCAGTTTTGCCTTTGAAAGCTATCGGCACAGCTCAGCACGAATTAGGCTCGAACGGATAAAAGAAGAGCGCCTGCGTAGTTGATGAAACGTGTCGAAGGGAAGTGCTCTCAATCCAATTTCCCACCTCTGTCCCCGAAACACATGACAAACATTTTTCTGTCAGAAAAATATTTCTTTGCGCTTCTAAAATGTATGTACGGTATTCTATTCAGTTCATGTTAACATCATATGAACGCTGCTGTATGAAGACAAAAATGGTCACCCTATTTTTTTTTCTTACCCCCCCCCCCGTCCCCTCTTGCCCCCAGAAAAAGGTGTATATCATAGAGTCCACATTGATCTCGAGTTTCAAACACATGCATCGATTCTCCCGTCATTTATCATGTCCGTCTCTTGGGGGTGAGAGATGATTTGGGGTGGCTCAGTGTTTTGGTCATTAGTTTGGACTCGTGCAGCGCTGCGGTGGTGAAAAATAACTCCGCTATATGAAGGCCACCTGTTGTTTTCAGAAGAAATATAACGACATCCCACAACTGGATGTCTTGGCGAACTGACTGATGGGCGACATGCAGGCGCTTGGTTGCTTGTCAATTAAAGCTCCAAATGGGCTTGGAGAAGACCAACAAGGTGTTGCCAGCTAAACTCGAAGTACGGAGATAACTGACCGACTCATGAGAATGCTGCGCAAGAAACAGCGGGGGAGGGACAAGAAGGAGCTGATTGATTGATGTGTCACAATCAGACGGGAAGCACAAAAGGACATTTTTAACCTGAAGGAGTCCTTCAAATAGTCACCCTCATTTGCCTTTTTTTTGAATGACAGTTTTATATTGAGTCTGTAAGCCTTTTTTTCTTGTCAGGCCAAGTACTGTAAATGCTTTTATCGACCTGTGCTTATAAAAGCAAACATACTGTACAAAAAAGTTTCCCCTTTTCAATATTGGAAAAAAAATATTTAGCATCACCTTTTATATCCGCCAAGCAGAATGCAATTTAAATTCACGCTCCAGTGATCGTCAACATATATTTGCATAATGGGGTCTTTTGAAAGCAGGTAGGAAGAGAACCGGTCAAAGCGTCGGGGAAGGTCACTGAAGCAGATCGAATGCATTCAACAACAAATTCTTTTTTGCCTGACTTTTAGTTCGGGATTTTTTTTCTGCAACTGTATGCTTTCAAATTTGAGGGAAGACTTTGAGGAAGGCCCCGTGTGGTCACTCATGGGTCAGTGACGAAGGTGAAGGTCTCTTGCACTTTCTCTACTACAGAATGAAGAATTGACATTAAAAGTGAACATGCTTGAAGACAACGAGACATTTCTTTCAATGTAACAGAATCGAAACCTCAGCACTAGCTGGAGCCCAACCTAAGTGACTTGGTGCGACTGTTTCCAAACAACCCCAGGGCACAAAGTGTCAAACAAGCATTCACCCGTAGACAATTAAAAGAAGGAGGGAGAGGGGGGGGACCCAACTTTTGAAACGAGGTCACTGTGCTTGCCCCTTAAAAAAAAAAAAAAAAAAAAAAAAAAAAAGAGTCTCATCCCATTCAGGATGACAATTGAACAAATGAATTCACTTCCCATTAGTTCCAAAGCGTTGTTTTGAAATTGGAACAATTTGGACGTCAAGCAGCTTAACGCAGAAGTAATGAATCGGAAATGAACGTCTGGGTACAAAAAAAAAAAAAGTCTGGCTCCATCATTCAAACACACCGTACGATACAGCTCATGCAAAATACAATTTGACAGACGCGTGTATTGTGAATCCAATTTGACCCTTACACAACCTGTCCGGTTAATGTTCTGAAACCAATCGGCGAGACGCAGGATGCCGACCGAGCTCGCAGCGCCGGAGAGACGAACAATAAAGAACCTTCAGCCCATGTATTTAATAGAGTGGAGAATAGGTGAGAGGCGAAGGGAGAGCAGGGTCAGCAGTATTAACTTATTTGATCCGCCTCCGAACAGGCGAGAAATAATTGCATGTTTGCGGGGATGTGAATCACAGCGCGCTTCCTCCCGATGGCTTCACAACCTTGTACTGAACGTGAAGCGTCAGCTTGGAGCTGCAACCAGAAGACAGAGAGAGAGAGAAAGAGCCCAGTGTGGCATGCAATCATTGATTTCTCCTTCTCCCCCGTGTTTGTGGAGGATTTGCGCTCTGCTTGGTATAGAGAGAAGGCATGTGAGGGGGAGAAGGGTCGCCAACATATCCGCTTCACGTTTTTGGAAGCCCACGTCTTCCCTGAAGCCGCCGTCGTCACGACTATGTGAGGAAAGAAGAACCCACACGATTGTTGATTGATTATCCGGAATGGGAGCCCAAGAGGGAAGATGATGTAATGCCACTCGTGAACATCGGGGGGCAGTAGTGATCTTCAGTGCCTTCTTTGTACAGTTTGCTCAGCTTTTTTGTGCGGGAGACAAATCCACGGCGGCATTTCTCCACCACAATCCTCAGTCCTGAAAAGCGTACCTTTCTTCAAAAAAAATAAAAACAACAAAAAAAAGGCTGTACGAAAATTCATCGCGCTTCCAAACTGACCTATTTTGCGGAGATTGCTGGCTTGGCTCGGTTCACTCTGTCTGTTAAGAGTTTCCCTCCTTCCGTATTGTTATAATGAATAAGGATTTTGAGGAAGCTGGATAAATAAATATTGGCACAACTTTCAAGGGCAGATTTCAACACAAGGAAAGTGCCAGCAACGGGTTTTGAAGGCTAAACATAGAATCGTAATACCCTTTATGGCTCTTATTTGCAATAAAGAACACGTGGCAGCCGCACAGCAATGCATCCTGGTTGCAAAACATTCACATTCTCACGTTTTTTGCGGCTCACTTAGCAGAGTTGTCAGTCTTTTTTTTTTCATTCCAGGAACGTGCTTGGAGATCAAACTAGCTGTAAATGATAACTCCATAATTTAAAACTCGTCTTAAAGCTCGTTTGTATTCTTTGGCTTTTGACTCAGCATGAGACTTGATTTTTAGTTTTACGTACTGTTTTTTCCCCCTTTCTACTGTCTTCATTATTAATTGAGTGTTTTATTGTTTGTTGTGTGAACTATTTTTGCCTTGATGTTGTTTGAAAGTGTTCTATGAAAAAATTTGGGTTGATTTGAAATCATTCAGCCCCCCCCTCCAAAAAAAGTGTAGTGTTTTCTAATAATTAAAACAGCACTTTACAATGTTGTATTTTATTTAAAAAAAAAACCATAATAATAATGATGACATAATTAAACCGAATGAAACTGATCTTGCCACATTTTTTGCTCTCATTTAATGGACATTGTGTTGCTCCTGCTGGTAGGAATACCTTGGCCACCTGGGGCAGTATCATACAGCCAGCGAGACGCATACGAAGAAGAATTTCACAACGGACACAATAAGATGCAGGAATATTTGTCATTTTTTGCGACTAACAAGCTAACTAAATATTCATGGAGCCAGCTGCAGTTATATCAATCATTCCTTGCAGAGGATAAATAGTGTATGCTTGTGAGTTGTTAATAATATCTTTTAACGTGTTGGATTATAACATCTGGACACCGTTAATAAAAATGTACACTATTTGATATGTTCTCACAGATTCAAGCAAGAAACATGAAGTAGCGACACATTATTTGATTTAACGGGCCACATATAACGTTGCGGCACACCAGGTATAGCCCCCGAGCCTTGTGTTTAATACTGCACAAAACTTGCATCGCCACTGCCAGATTGCACTGGGTTACCACTTGTAAACACAGTAATCCCCTCCCCCACGTTTGCGGGATTACTATCAAGATTTATTCATAGCCGGAAGTGTCCATGTAATGGGACACACGTAGGCTGACATCTAAGTGTCATGGCTGGACCGCACGCGGGCACGTTTCCACCATCATCTGTGGGCTGCAAATTGATTTGGTCCGAGGAGGGAGAAACAATCATATCAAAGAGGAAGTGAGAGAAATAAGTAGAAAGAGGGGAGGGTGGGGGGGGGGCCATCCTTTGACGTGATGGATTCAGCTCCAATTGGAAGGGGCACACTTGTTAGCCATGGGATGGAGACTTCCTTTCCTTTTATCCGGCGAAGAACTAGAGTCCCCTCTCCAAGCGTGGCTGTAAAAACACTCCACTGTAGGTGTGACACACACACACACACACACACACACACACACACACACACACACACACACACACACACACACACACACACACAAAACGTGATGCTGTGCATCACATTGTTATGGCTCCTGATAGAGTATCAAATGATACTGTAACAAACGGTATTGATAGTGTCATCACCGTTCATTTCCCATTATGATCAACGGAAGAGTCATTAAACCTTTTCAGCCCCTCCCGACCAAAAATCTATTAAAAAAAAATGCGACGTGGCCTTTTGTGAGATAAATGGGTACTCTCTAACATTGTACATTTATAAGAACATCCTGATTAAATAGAAGGTAAAGGAATTTTACAGTTTTGGCCTGAATTCAATGGACATTATGCTGCCGTATGAAGTACCTGCGGACAGTGCAGCACAGGCACACAAATATACCCTTCATAGAGCCAGTCGAAAACTCCT